ATACAGATTAATTATGTTTGTTAAGTGTTGTAGCTATAGTTATGCTATCAAAATTGTAGCAATTATTTTTCAAAAAGTGAGGGGATATTGTTTGGTGAGTTGAGCTTGGAGCCGTGAGTGCAGGGAGGAGGCTACTATATAGGAACAACTGCCTATCAGTCAACTAAACTAAGGTAGAGAAGCAACTTGAAGTACCTAAAAATGAACTCAAAGAAATGGATTTGAACAACCCTAAGTTTTTAGTCACTCATATCTATTCCTGTGAATACTGCCTGTGAAGGACAGCGTTAGAGAGGAGTGTAAGAATGGCGCTCTGTGAAACAAAATCCCATGAGCTATATTCTATAGCCTACATTATGGCACCGTCATGCTTGAAGAAGTCTGAAGTGATGATGAGAAGAATACAAGGCATAAAACTTGCCTCATTAAATCCTTTCTTTCCCTCCTCACTAGTAGAACCCAGATAATTATCTTCCATTTCCTCCTCATCCCCTTTCACATGCACATACCATAGAAATATTTCTAAACATAAAGGAATGAAATAAGACGGATCAGTAGAGTGTAATGTCTTGCTTAAATTGTTTATAACTATTCCAGTAACTCATCTAATCTCTGCTTACATCCTATGGAAGCATATTTGAACCCACGTCTGGATTTAAGTGGATTAGATTTAAGTGAGTCACCTCAGCCTGAAATCCAATACTACATTAGTGCACATCACCTCTAAAACGCTCCAGCCTAGCAACATTTCCAAGTACAGCAACAAGGGGAGTTTGTGAGCTGGCTAAATTGGAGACGATGACCTTTATATGAATATCTGTATATATAGTGGGGAATATTTTTAATAAAGTTTGACACTTTTTAATATATTGTGATATTTTGAAAGCAGTATGTATGAAATTGTAATGACATTTTCTGTCCCTCAAGCTCATTAAAATGAGATCTTACCTGCACACTATATAATATTCAATATTCTGTTATTTCTCTGACATTAAAAAGTAATCCGTGAAGTGTAGACAGTTTATAATATAAGCTGTTATCAATAGAATGTGATTTCAACTAAGGGTTTTTTTTATAAATTAGTAATAGGTCCAAATACTTGCCCTATTTTCTGAGGTTGCTCTTTATTAAGAGTATACTATGATTTTGAATTATATGAATGAAATGAATTTAAACTGGTATTAGTTAACAAATAAATAAACATTTACAAAGGTAAGTGTAATGCAAAAAAAAATGATATTCACCTCCAAAGATGATAGAATTAAAACAGAATGAAGTATAAATTTAAATAGAAAATTCATTCCTTTACATAGAGGGAAAGAAACTCTTTAAAAATGACTCTCATGAGAAATAATCACTCATAAATTACCTGATAAATTATGAGTTATTTTACATATAAGCAAGTGATTTAAAACACTAGAAATTTAGTAAAGTATTATAATCAACTATCACCAAATATGACATTATTTATTCAAAGTTTGACTAACGGTTATTGGGCATGAAGAACTTAAACCCAGACATAAATACTTGTGGATAAAATATTTAAGGCAGACACACTATTCCCAGCTTCTGTAGGTTTACATGCGTATTAATGTCAAAGGCTTTGACATGTGGAAGACCTGGGTTGGTTTTGCCTATTGTGACTTCTGACACTTGATTCCTTCCTCTGTAAAATGGAGATTTTGTAATAACAATATCCACCTCATAGGATTAATGAAAGGTTAAATGAGATAGTTAAACTTCTACGAAAGGTAAGATTTAAAATATTAGTTATTATTATTGTTGAATTTGGCACCTGTTAATAATAATCCAGTGAAATGTTGATGATAGTATAATCAATCCCACAAAGTGACCAATGGAAACCATTCAATATGTCATTAGCCTAGTTTAATTTCTATTACACTTAAGATAACCTCAATTAAATCACAGTTGACCCTTGAACAATGTGGAACTTAAGGATGCTGACCTCCTACACAGCCAAAAACCCAAATATAATTTTTGACTCCTCCCAAACTTAATGAGTAATAGCTTACTGTTGACTGGAACCCTTTCAGACAACTTAAGCAGTCAATTAACACATAATTTCATATATTATATGTATTATATATTGTATTCTTACAACAAAGTAAATCAGAGATAAGAAAATGTTATTTTAAAAATCATAAGGCAGAGAAACTACACTTGTACTGTTTACTGAAATATCAGTAGACCTGCACGTTCAAACGTGTGTTGTTCAAGGGTCAACTGTATTTTAAAATAACAAGGGTCAAGTATACCATGAATTAGAGAAACCTTTGACTTTAATTTTTCTGACTTGATGGTGCTTTTAATGCTTCTGGGTCATCCTAGAAAACACTATGGGACATGGAACAATGTGTACAAGAAATAATAAAAAAAGGAAACTAATTTTCTTGCATTGGCTTTCTTGTCTTCTCTTAATGGAGAAAAGACTGCCTTTCACCAAAGGCCCCCAAATTAGGAATTAGCCATACATTTTATCATTATCTAGTTAAACTATTTTATAATCATCCAAGGAAATCTGGAAATCCAATGGACATACTGATACATTGAAAATTAGCAACTTTATAAGTTTGCTCTAACATTGACCGGTTCTCTGGCTAGCTCTCCTCTAATTTCTATAAGAAAGTATCTTGCTCATTTAATTGTTTAATGTCTTCCTCATTGTATGTTTTAGGAATGGGGCCCTTGTTCATCTCTCATCCCAGTGACTCTTCAGTGTGGCAGACACACAATAAATATTGGTCAAATCAATGAAAAAATTTGGACAAATGAGTATTGGTGCTATTATTAAGTGATTCCTGTGTGTCACATTAAGGGCTTTTCATACATTAACCAATCTAAGCCTTACATCAACCAAATAAGGTTTTTAGTATCCCAATATTTTTTATGAAAATACTGATGAGTTTTTAGTAGTCATGATTTATAGACTATATATTATATTTTTAAAGAGCACCCAGAAATAGGGATTTTGAATAGTCTGTGCTAATCTGTTCAGGATATTCTCAAGGAAAACAATTTTTTTTCTGGATCTAATTTGTCTTCCCTTTTTTCCTCTGTGGTGCAGGAGTTGTTAACTTGTGTGATCCCTGCTTGAGTCTACTCTAAGAATCTTTACAAAGTCAGTGACACACTGAGTCCCAACCAGGTATAAAAGAAAGATGCCTACTTTCCTCAAAGTCTTAAAGAGAGATGGTAAGTATTGCAATGTTACAGTCCATAGACTTCTCAGATTCAGACATCACTTAGTAAACATAATAATTGCAACCAAATATTTACAAGTGTGACATCAATGAATTGGTTTTTACCTTTCACCAGAAAATTATCCCTTATAGTCTTTCAAAAGACATGAACATATCTGAGGTGTCACAAACAACAATTCAAATGTCATATTGTAAGAGAAAGTCCAAAGCAAAGCTTCTTACTCAAACAAATTTAAAGTCGAGAATCTTATTTGAATCTGAGTTTATTATTTTTCTAGTTTATATTAAGTCTGTTTGATGATTCAGTGTAAACTTCAAGTAACTCAAAGGCTCTCAGAAAGTTTGGGGCAAATGTTGACTTTAAGGCTGATAACTGATTAAAGAATAATTTGAAATCACTACTAACTACGGAGAATGAAGCAACCCCTCCAGAATTATACCAATTCCTGTCAAAATAACCACCCTCAGGGTTGGGAGGGGTGGGAGGAGGTATCAGCTTTTGTAAGGGCTTTTCATACATTATCCAACCTAAGTCTTACATCAACCAAATAAGGTTATTAGTATCCCAATATTATTTATGATAAAACTAAGAGGTTATGTGATTTTCCGGCATCAAACAGTTACCAAGCAGCAACTCTATAAATATAAACTTGAGTATAGCCTACTAAATGCCTCCAGTCTTTTAAGTATTACTCCAAATGGCTTCCAATAATAACAAAAAAGATAACAGTGCAAACTTCTAGAAAATGCTCTAAGAGTGTTCCTACACATGTCCTCTAAACATTTCCTGAATGTGATAAAATTCAGTAATTTCACCCATCTTATTATGTGCCTTACAGAGATTTACATGAAAGCAGAAATTTTCCAATTGCAGAAAGGATAGGTCACAAAATGTAAATTTAATAACTATTTACTCTGATCATGAAAACTACATATTAGCAAATATTGTGTATAATAAAATACATAATTTAATGATTTACATTAAACTTAAAACAAAACACTTATTAGGAAACAACCTTGTTTCCACTTAACACGTTTGGTTAGAAGCAGAAATGATAGATTATTAGGCGAATAAAGAGTAGGGATGGGGTGAGGCCATGTGTGTGTGTGTATCCAGGACATTCAGAACCAGATCCCCATAATTAATTGAATCAAGGGTATCCCCATAATTAATTGAATCAAATAAGCTGGCAATCTTACTGGAAATGAACAAATCAATGTTTCAATTACATGAGTTGACTATTGTATAATAACCACAATAAACCATTACAGAAATGAGAATGCCATCTACAGTCAGCTTTGATATTAGAAAGACAGAAAGCAGGTGTTGAAGTTCTGCTTTACTTAGACAAAATATAGACCTCCCTTAAGAAGGAACTTACTCAATAAATTTACCTGACATAACCTGATTTTCCACATCTGAGTCAATCATACCAATTGAAAAAAATCAACCAATTCAATTTAAATGATTGTATAAATGAGTTGCCTCCAAAGCCTATGTAAGCACCCATTTAAAAAGCAGAATGTGCCCTAACCGGTTTGGCTCAGTGGATAGAGCATCGGCCTGCAGACTCAAGGGTCCCAGGTTCAATCTGGTCAAGGTCATGTACTTTGGTTGTGGGCACATCCCCAGTGGGGGGTGTACAGGAGGCAGCTGGTCGATGTTTCTCTCTCATCGATGTTTCTAACTCTCTATCCCTCTCCCTTCTGCTCTGTAAAAAAAATCAATAAAATATATTTCTTTTAAAAAGCAGAATGTATAATTATGAAGGGACTTACATATTTGGTTTCTCGACCAGCTGATCTCGGAACAGTTGTAGGTGTCTGTATGAAAACAAAAATAATTATAATACTAAAGTAATCAATAAAATAGTCTTAAAATATTTAACCTCTGGGATAAGTGTTCACCTATTTTTTCTTATTAAGACTTTCTAATCAATACTCCCTCTTTTCTATATAAAATCCTTTGTACCTTTGAAAATCATTTCATTAAACTACATCATTTTATTATTCTTTTCATTACTGTTACCTATCGGCTTTCTGGTTAATTTTCCCTAGTTTATTGATGATGTTTATTCATGAATCATAATAATTCCTTACATGATATTTTGTTACTTCAAATTCACGTAGAAATCTTTGCACTCTCAATTCTTCATGCTCCAAAGATATTCTCATCCACTCCATTTCAACCATTCATTTCTAGGACCATTCCTATACTTTGCCTTAACAAATAAAATGAGAAACTTCTAAAATTTCAATTTCTAACATCCTATTTTCAGAACTCTACCTCCTAGACACCATCTCCATTTCTCAAATATCCCCAAAGCTTCCTGAGACTTCAAAATCATTAACCCTTACCAACTCCATTCAAGCTTCAGTACCTCTGAGCTTACATATATTGTCATTTTATACCTTAATCTCTCTTGCCTCTCTCTCTCTTTTGAATCCCTCCACCAACACACACACACACACACACACACACACACACACACAATCTGGATGGACCTCATTATCCATTTTCTCTAAACTTGTACCTGAGAAACAAAATCTTACTGGGAAACTCTCTCAATCAGCTAATTGATGTCACCATAAATATCAGTAGTGATATTCAATTTCAATTGGGCATTCAATACTCCCTGGTAAACATGAATTTTTCTCTTGCAGGCTCATTTTCCCACTTTCTGAGAGCAATTGGCTATTTAATTCATTTATCAATTCAACAAATATCATTATGTATCTACTGTATGCCAGGAACTGTTCTGCACACTTCAGACTTAGCCATGAATAGAAGAGACAAAGATGTCCTGCCCTTGGGAGTTTCCATTTCAGCCGGAGATAAAATAAACAATAAAATTATAAATAAGTAAATTACAACATATGTTAGGAGGTGTCAAACACAATAAAAAAAGAAGAGTAGAAGTAATTTGAAGCCTAGGGTAGCACATTTTTCCAAAGGAAACCTTCTTTGCTTCTGCCAAACACACATGTATATGACCACTGAAATGTTAAGAAAGTCAAGAGCACTGACGGCTTACAATTTTAAATAGGATGATCAATCCAGAGAAGGTGACATTTGAGCAAAGATTTGAAGGAGGTGAGAAAATTGGCTATGTGGGTATCTAGATATAAAGCATTCCAGCAAGATAAATAAGTGTAAAGTCCTTATATGAATTTCCACCTTTGAAAATGTTGGCTAAGGAACTCAGAACAATCCTGTCATAATAGGTAATAACCAAGTTGAGCAAAATACTGGAAAATATTTTATTAAAAACATCAGTGAGTTAATAAGAATGAAGAATTTGGGGGGCAAAATCAGGAGAATTTGGGGATCTGAAAAGAGAAGTCAGGCATTTGAGATCTGCTTTTGCCTTGCGGGTGTTTGCAAATACTGTTGAGTTGCTTGAGAGATGATCCAAACATTTGACATTATCAGAGGTGTAGCGAGATAAAAGTCAGAGTCTCCAGAGCCAAAAATAGATTGAGGCCCAGGAGTAAGAGTGATCCAGATCTCATATAGGCTTCAGCCTGACCTCAAAGCATCTAAAACTGATTGTTTAGAAAAAAAATCATCTCAAAACCTTAGATTAAATTAAGTAATTCTCTTTTGCTAGAGTTCCTTGTGTCTGACAGCAAAGACTCTCATAGGAAGATATCTACTTGAATACATTTTCAAGTAGAAAATCCAACACACAATCAGATTCAGAAAAATAAAGAGGTAAGACAAGGTGAGTGAGAATGAGCAGCAATAATAAACCAAAAAAGACCCATAAAGAATCTAGAAATTGGTTTACTTAGAACCAGACCAAAAAACCACCATACTTACCCATATTGTTTGAGGTAAAAGTGAAGCTTGGGAATTTTTACAGGGAACCAGAAACTATAAAATGTGATATAGTTGATTGAAAAAGAGCTAAATGTGCTGAGGTAGGAGCACAGCATCTTCAAGGTCCAACAAGGAGGCAAGCAGGACTGGAGAAAATGGGTAAAGGGGACATTGGAGAATAGATCATGCAAGTGTTGGGAGGTCAGGTCCCAGAGGCCCTCCTGGGGTCTTGTAAGGATTTGGGCTTATATTCTGAGGGAAATGTGTAGGCACTGCTAGTTTTAAGCACAGGAGGGTCACAATCTGATTTATTCTTATCAAAGGATAGTAATTTGAATTAGGCTCTAGTTTCCTTGCCCCTGTCAAGGTCTTTCATCCATCAAGATCTCCCTTGGTTTTGTATAAACAGTACCTCCCACTGTACTGAATCAACCCATTAGCATACCAACTTGCTCTTGTCAGCTTTAAAAGGCAGACAGAAAATTCTTCCTGGACCCCACTATTGACCCAATTTCCTTCTCCCCTTCACAGCCCAAGTGTTTGTTTTACACATTCATAAGAGATAAGGAGAGCAAAGAGGTAGTGAAAGGGAGTGAACCTGAGGGATGGTGCAAAGAAGAATGCATGGGGATAACATCAAGGTGGTCCTTCAGCCTGACTGAAGAGAAGGAAACAGCTCACTTTAGGTTGGACAACTGGCCAGCCTCTGATGAGTCCTTTTCTGATCCCTTCCTGGGTAATGACAACTGGGACAGGAATTGGGAAAGAGGAGTATGGAATGCCATAAGCAGAGGTACAAGGAGGCAAAGGTTAGTGTCACTGAGGCAAGGAAGAAGTGGCAAGTGAAAAATTGCTGATATTATGGAATTTCTATATTCTGAGATACATGCACCTCCTACTCACCCACACACAAAATAAATCCTATCTAATAAAAGGGTAATATGCAAATTAAACATCACTCATCACAAAGATGGTGGCGTCCATAGCACAAGATGGCAGCACCCAGTCCTCTCAGCCCTGCTGGAGTACCCTTGCTCTTGTCAGCTTTAAAAGGCAGCCACTGAGAGCAGGCAGCGTGAGTGGCCTGAAGGAATGCTTGCTTCATTACCATGGCGACGAGGCAAGCGTTCCACGCCCTGCTGCAGAGGGCCTCTGGACAGGCTGTGCGCAGAATGCTTGTGTCGCTGCAGGCGGGCTGAGAGACCTACCCCCTACCCCGCCCCTGTGCACGAATTTCATGCACTGGGCTTCTAGTAAATATAATAAAACAGAATGAGGAAATGCTAGGAATTAGGCTTTTAGTGCCTGCCACCCCAGGCGTCAGGCATACATACAGCCAAACTAGCTGATATACTCAGAGATATTTGAGTTTCCATGGAAAATTTACAGGACATCTGAAAAATGAAAATACTGTAAAAGAAAAACAGTGGTCCAGCCATTTTACCTGTAGATCTTTACGCAAGAGAAATGAAAGTGTATGAAAATACAAAGTCTGATTTGCAAATGTTGTTAGCAGCTCTATCAGTAACACTCCCAAATTAGAAATAACCTAATTGTCCATCAATTGGCAAATAGTAAATATATAGTACAACCACACAATGGAAAGCTACTCAGCAAAAGAAATAAATGAATGATTGATGCATGCAAAAATATGAATGAATCGACTCAGCTGCTTCTACTAAGTATAAAAAGTCAAACTCAAGAGACTATATACTGTATAATTCTGTTTATATGACATTTGAAAAAGCAAAAGTATAGAGACAGAGAAAAGATCAGTGGTTACTCAGCACTTGAGTTGTACAGAGAGAGAAAGAGAGATACTACAAAGGAGCAAAAGGGAACGTTCTTGTATGATGGAAGTTTCTTGTATCTTGGATGTAGGAGGTGGTCATATAACTGTATCCTTTGTCAGAAGTCATATACACTGAAAGGATGAGTTTTACAGTAAGTAAATTATACCTCAATAAACCTGACTTGAAATAAGAGAACTATATATGCTACAAAAAAGAATTTTACATAGGCATTGAAGTATAAAATAGACAATAAACAAATTTTTTAACTGGAATATCAGATCTAGGAATCCTCTCAAAACAATTAAAGAAATAATAATTAGAATAAAATATTTAAAGATTAAAAGATATGGAATACAGAAGCAAAAGTGACAATATCAGTATTATAAAAGCCCCAGCAGGAAAGAAACATTTGAAGAAAAAAAAAAGGCTAAACATTATCCTGAATGTAAGAGGAAGAAAAAATTAAAGACCCCAAGTGAAAGGTCAAAGAGAATACCAATCCAGATACATAAAAGAAAAAAATGCACACCTAGACACATTATAGGAAAAATCAGTCACATTATAGATAAAGATAAAATACTAAAAGATTACAGTACCACTCTGTAAATGATCACTCTATGGAAGAGGAGTGAATATTATACTGAAAAAATACTTCACAAGGACGTTACTGAAGTAAAAGAGCCTGGGGTAAAAAGTATTGAAGAAAGAGGATCTACACTTTTATGTCCAGCAAAACTATAGTTTAAATGAATAGGAGGGAGCGGGCTTTTTCAGAGATAGAGGTTATAGAATCAACACAATCAGACCTCTTGAATATAATTTTCAGCAAAATTCCAGAAAAAAAAAGTAAATCCATGATTAAGCTATAAATTTATAAGGAATAAGAATCTAAATAAAAAATAAGTATCTAAATAAAGAAGAAATTAATAAAACATAAGCATAATAATTCAAATATAGAAGTCCAAAATATATTAACAAATTTTTCTGTGTAAGTATGTAACCTAATTTAAAAAAATGTGAAAAATGAAAGTGCTATAATACTTACCTAATTGGGGGGGAAATATATGTAAGCTTTAAAATGATAGAAAAATAAACATAATTATTGTCCTTAATAATTTATGTGTAACTACAAAAACTAACAAAAATATAAAGTAAAATTTTCAAAAAGTTTCAAACCCGGTATATGTCAAAATATCCAAAGGAAAGCAGGAAAGGCAAAAAAGGAAAATGTTTTAAGTAGAAAATGTAAAATAAGATAGCAGAAATTAGTATTAATAGTAATTATAAATGGCCTAAGGTCTCAGATAAAAAGAATCTCAGATTGAATACAAAAGTGATATCCAGAAATGTAGTCCTAAAGAAAATAAAACTAAAGAGTTTATAGAAAGATAAAAATAAAGTTTTAAAGTAATATATAAATAAAGGAATAAAAAATTAAAACATGAATTTAAAATTACATATATAAGGTCACTATTTCATAGGAGACTAAAAATGGAATCTTAGGTTCAAAAGGATTATAAATGCTAGTAAAAGTTATTTAAAAAAATGAGAATGAGCACCAACACATAAGAAATAGCAATATAGTTTCAAAATATATGTCAAATTTAATAAATACTTTTCTAGGCTTAGCTTTCTCTGCCTCTGGCAGCAATCACAGCAATTACATTCTCTTCAATACTCTCTTCTTGTAGCTTCATGATACCATACTGCTCTGATTTTTTATACAGTGGGTTTGTTTTTCTCCTTTGCAGGTTCCTGCTCCACCTTCTTTATTGTACCTGCAATGTTTTGTTCCTTGGCTTTCTGTACAGGGAGCTCACAACATCCACGTGCTGGTCATCCCCAATCTCGCCTACTGCCCTAGCCAGTTTGGCTCGATGGATAGAGCGTCGGCCTGCGGACTGAAGGGTCCCAGGTTCGATTCCGGTCAAGGGCACATGCCCGGGTTGCGGGCTCGAGCTCCAGTGGGGGGCATGCAAGAGGCAGCCGATCAGTGATTCTCTCTCATCATTGATGTTTCTAACTCTCTCTCCCTCTTCCTTCCTCTCTAAAATCAATAAATATATATATATATTTTTAAAAATCTCTCCTACTACCACCAGACATGTAAGTGTAAAGCCCTCTTGAAACATAGCTCAAAGTCACCTCAAAAACAAACATCAACTCTCTTTCCTCCACCACACAGTGCCTCCTTCACAGTCATCTATGCTCAAGGAAGAGACCTGGTGCTCACCCATGGTTCTTCTCTCCTTCACACTCACATCCAAACCTGCAGCAAGTCTGAAATCTCTCTCTCATACCCACATATTGCTCTCTGGCAATGAACCGACCCTATCCAGGACAACTTCATTGACTGCCTCTCTGATCTCAGTTGCCTTCTCACAGCACCCATTGTGATCTTTTTCAGTGGTTTCATATTACATCCCCCATAGTTTTATGTCTTCCCATTTCCTTGTAACCCAAACTTCATGACATGGCATTAAGGTATCTTCACTGTCCCTAGCCCACCTTCTCAATCTCATTTTACATGGTTCACCCCTGGCTCACTAGGCTGCAATCACACTTGTCTTCATCTTCACACAATAAGTGCTTTACTGGCTCAGGAAATTTGCATATGCCTGCTCCTTTGCCTAAAGACTATTCTCCCTGATCTTTCTTGGTTGGCTTTTTTCCATCTTTGGTCTCAACTTGAATTCCACTTTCTGATTACTATATCCAAAGTATGCCCCTCTAGGTTACTCTGCCTTGTTCACCATTATCTCCCTAATGCCTCACAGTGCCAGGCCCATAGTAGGTACTTAATAAATATTTGTTGAATGAAATAATTGCCTTAATAACAGTGACGTAGAATAATGTTTTTAAACACTATAAGCATTAAATATTTGTTAAATAAATCAATAGTTAAGATGTTTATTCACATATTACTATTTAAATCATATTCCCATTATAGTTAATTAAAATATATTTTAAAATTTACATAGTATTTCTTTGGCAAAGCAAACAAAGTTTTATACTTTTAGATTAAAAGACAAAAAAATATACAACTAAACATTTAATAAAAACATAAACTACAATTATTCATTTGTAGGTCCTCTATGCTAAAATAGAATTTTTAATGGTTACTAAGTTTCTATGTCATTATTAATGAACTAGAGGCCTGGTGCACAACATTTATGCACTTGGGAGGGAGGGGTCCCCTCAGCTCAGCCTTCGCCCTTTAGCAGTCTGGGAGCCCTCAGGGGATGTCCGACTAATGACTTAGACCTGCTCCCTGTGGAGAGGGATCCTAAGCCGCAGTCGGACATCCTTAGCGCTGCCACAGAGGCAGGAGAGGCTCCCGCCACCGCCACTATGCTTACCAGCCATGAGCCCAGCTTGTGGCTGAGCAGCGTTCCCCCTGTGGGAGTGTTCTGACCACCAGGGGGCAGCTCCTGCATTGAGCATCTGGCCCTTGGTGGTCAGTGTGTGTCATAGTCAATTTGCATATTACCCTTTTATTATATAGGATATTTGTCTATAATGTTCCAATTGGTAATTAGGATTACTCTTCTAATTATAAGCAATTTCTACATTTAAAACCTACTTTATACACACAGTGTCTAACTTTTAAAAAGAACATGCAAAAAGTATACTAATTCCAAGAGAGAATATAAGGCTGACAAAAAACACACAAAACTAACAATTATCAATAAAGGAAAAACACAACCATTTTAAAATTTGGATGAGTAGGTCTGTATTAAGCATTCAAAAAATTTTGGAAAAATGTAGCATTTTATTCCAACAAATAACATTGGCTACAATTATAAGAAGGAAATAGTTAATTATGTAAATGGAACAATTAATGCTTTAGTAATGCCATAAGAATCTCAAATATCCATGCTTCTTTCCCTCTGAGTCAAAGAACAATGAGATACATTTCAAAAGAAAAGACATTCCAGAAATAATACTTGTGTTAAAGCTCTTAGACTAATGCTACTTTAGTCTACTCCATTTTCCACTTCCATAATTCTAAGTGGCTGTGAATTACTTAGGTACTGAAGGTAGGGTTTGAGATGAGATTAGGCAACAGATTCTACATGCAGTTACTTCCATATAGCTCCCGCAAATACCAACATATAACAGAATCTAATGTGTTGGTTTGAACTTATCCCATACAGAGTTAAAAACAGATTTTACTTTGCAACCCTTACACGCATACCTGTATATATAAACAAATTGAAATAAATTTCAATAATACAGACACTACTTAGAATAGAGTCTGATATTTTACATTCTTACTATTCTATTTTTAAAGTGCTATTGACTAACAAAATAATGCTGGTTGCTCTCTATTAAATTAACCTCCCAATTCACTATTGGGCTTTGACCTGAAGCTTAAAAATTACTGCTATAGAAACTCTCATGGTTCAGTAAATTATAATAAACACATACATACTTTGGTAGTGTCAGAACCCAACAATTTCTGTAGAGAACTTGAAGGAGAACCAGAAGAATGCTGGAAAATAAAAAGGACAAGCCTATGATGCATCATACTCAAGTAGGGGTAAATGAAGAGAAGCAAAGCAAATGTTTGAATTGCACATTCTAGTCTAAGGCATTACCATAGACAAGGAATCCTGTAAGACCTTATCAATGGTAGCACAGAGCTCTTCAGTTTGCTGCCTGAGCTGTGCAGGGAAACAAAACTGGAAGAATTGAAACCAGGTACTGAGTTAGCAATGAGTTTTGGGATTGCTCTTCAAAAGCAGGGGTAATATGAAGTCATTACCTCCAGAGGTGGGTCTAATGTGTTGTCCTTGGAGATGTTTTCAGTTTTGGCCGGTTCATCTAGTGCCTAGTGGTAAATGAAATAGTTCTTACGTGAGGCTTTTATTTATTTTTTATTGTTTTATTGCTTAAAGTATTACAAAGAGTATTACATATGTCTCCTTTTTTCCCCCGCCCTTGAGGCTTTTAGTCAAATATAATTGTCATAGAAAAGTCTCTTCAAAGAAATCCCTGTGTATCTCAATGTTTCTAAGAAATAAATCTTCAAATAATTTGATGAGCTCTCCTCTGACATATTTTCTCTTGTGGAATCAAAATATCTATTATAAGATGTTGGAATAAAGAAAGGAGGCTGAGTCCAGCAAGTGTGGCTCAGTGGTTGAGCATTGGCCTATGAACCAGGAGGTCACGGTTCAATTCCCAGTCAGGGCACATGCCCAGGTTGTGGGCTTGATCCCCATTGTTGGGCGTGCAAGAGGCATCCAATCAACGATTCTCTCTCATCATTAATGTTTCTATCTCTCTCTGTCTCCCTTCCTCACTGAAATCAATAAAAATTGTATATTAAAAAAAGAAAGAAAGAAAGGAGGCTGAGTTTTTAAACATACAAACTAGAACTTGGACATCTTATACATCTAGATGAGCCCTGTTCCCTTCAAAGCAGTTACCTTGAGAAACTACCCACAGAAATAACAAAGATGTAGGCATTTCTCAAAATGTACAAAAACTATTCTTAAGAAAATACTTCAGAACCAGTTTATAAGAAACATGCACACAGAATTTTTAAATCTTGCCTCATTTGTAATCATTTATATAACAAAAAGTCTTGGCTACGTTATTCATCCGACTTCGACGTGGCCTCAAATGACATTTAACTATTTTCAAAATGTAACAACTACTATGAGGTTGTTTTGTGCAATTCTTCTAATTTTGTGTAAGCTTAATGTACACTTTTGGAACTTGCTTTGTTTTTTGTTATTATTTAACCAGTTTGTCAAATTATGATTGACATACAAAAACCTGTATTTAATGTACACAACTGGTGAATTTGGAAATAAGTATACATCCATAAAACCATCTCCACAATCTAGGCCGTAAACATATCCATCACCACTCAAAATTCCTTACTATCTTATTTCTTTTTCCATGTAGTTATATATTCAGGCATTCATTTACACATAAGATTCCATTGTATGCATATTTCACACAAAAATGGATATTTTCTTCTGTTGCTGGATTTTTGAAGTGTCCCCAATTTTACTATTATAAACTGTAATAACTATCATCCATGTACACATTTCTTTTTAAAAATATATATATTTTATTGATTTTTTACAGAGAGGAAGGGAGAGGGATAGAGAGTTAGAAACATCGATGAGAGAGAAACATCGACCAGCTGCCTCCTGCACACCCCCTACTGAAGATGTGCCCACAACTAAGGTACATGCCCTTGACCAGAATCGAACCTGGGACCTTTCAGTCCGCAGGCCGACGCTCTATCCACTGAGCCAAACCGGTTAGGGCAATGTACACATTTCTTTAGACACACATTTGTAGTTTTAAGATTAAAGTACCTGCACAATAGTGTAATCATGGAGAGCCACCTTATCAGATATTCTCAAATTGTCCTTTGAAATGAATAATCTTAAACTCATCACTAGAGGCCCAGTGCACAAAATTTGTGCACAGGGGTGGGGTCCCCTCAGCCCAGCCTGCACCCTCTCCAATCTGGGACCGCTCGGGGGATGTCTGACTGCCGGTTTAGACTGCCGGTTTAAACCAGCAGTCGGACATCGCTCTCACAATCCGAGACCACTGGCTCCTAACTGCTCACCTGCCTGCCTGCCTGATTGCCCCTAACTGCCCCCCCTACTGTCCTGGTCACCCCAAACATGCTCCCCCTGCTGGCCTGGTTGCCTCCAACTCATCATCTGTCAAATCTATTGATTCGCTTCAACGGTTTATTGTTTTACTTGGAGTATTATTAGCCTCGGTGTAACTTTGAAAGAATGTTTTTACTACTCGTCAAAAACCACTCCCTT